TTTTTGCAGGTTGAGGCTAAATAGTTGTCAGCATTGCTTCTGTTGTTCTCTGGGGGTTGAGCCAGAACTTAGACAACATCCACTTTACGGCCCCCTCGAGCTCATGACCACCAGCCCTGTCCTTCACAGGGGTGAAGAGTGGTGGTCTTCCAGACAGTGGAAAGAGCTTCCTCTCAGCCTGTATGAAAGTGTCACCATGGCTTTCAGGCTGTAGGGTAACCGCTGACTTTTCCGCTGATATTTCTGGTGGAGGACAGTTAGAGCACAGTCCCCCCTTCTGATGAGGAGGATCCCCTTGTTTCTTGCAGTCAATCACTTGGCCTCTCATGGCTTATTGGTGAACTATGATTTTAGAGGCAAATTGTTCTTATTCCTCACGCTTTGGCAAGGTGGCCCCAAAAGGGACCGGGGTAGACAGGAGAATCGTGTCATGGGGAAACACAGTAATGCTCGAGCTGCCACCCCCACAGTTTCAACTTCTGGTCTCACTTTGCTGCACTTTTATCTGTATTATGGTTTGCATTTGCACCTCAGCCCCAGGAAGGAGTGCTACTGCCTGGGAGCACAGCTCCCAGGTCCTCGCGTGCAGTGTGGGTCTCTTTTCTCTCGAGGAAGCTGTGGAAGTTCTGGAAGCCAGTAAGGCAGGATCAGGGTGTGGGGCACTGCCAGGTTGGCAGGATGACAAGATGGCAGCTGGGGAGGCCCCGCCCTGTCTCTCTGACTCTAGAGCCCGGAGCAGGCTGCTGATGTGTGCTGGCTGTCAGCTGCAGTGTTCTCCCACAGCTGCACTTCCAGGAAGACCTGGGAACATGCTGTAGCAGCCTCAGTATGCACAGCCTGGAGCGCATCCCTGGCTGCACCAGGAAAGGGAGGTGGATGGGTAAGTCACCTGACCCCAAGAGCTCAGGTGACCCAGAGGAGCACCATCCAGAACACGCTAGAGGGGTCCTTGCAGCAGAGTCCTTCCTGACAGGGGACCTTGGTCTAGGAGCAGGAATGGCCTCAGGTCACTGGCAAGGGCACAGGCAAGTCCCTTCTCCTCTCCTCCAGGTTGCTACAGTACAGTACCAGCATCGCTCACTGTGTCCCTAGAGGCCTGGCAGTGTCACACATGGGCTCTGGGCCATCCTTAATCTTCCCTGGGAAAGGCCTAGCCCTGCCAAGTCGTACTTTATCATGGTGCAAGTGGGGACTTTTAGGGACCTGTGATCATGCAGTGTCTGCATGGTACAAAGCGCAGGGACCTCTCACCAGAGTGGTGGGTGCCTTCCAGGGCTCAGTCCACAGAAGCCCTATTCTCCATCTGGTGTATCCATAAGCATTTGCAGTGGCTCTGTATGTCACCAGCACCATGATCTGGGCTTCAGGCTTCTGGCACCTTATCTCAAATATCCAGTGACAAGTGCGTAACAACAGGAGGCTGCTGGCCCTCTTAGTTCCCTTTTTCATTGCTGAGACAAATACCAGACACCCAAAGTTAATGGAGGAAACATTTATTTAAGCTCACAGTTTATAGAGGTTTCAGTCCATAATCAGCTGGTTCTGAGGCAGGGTAATATGACAGAGGAGGCACTGCAGAGGAGAAACAGACCATGGCATGGCAGGCAGCAGGCAGCAAGCAGCAAGCAGCAGCAGCCTGACTTCTTTCTGTCCCTTTATTTCTCATCCAGGCTACAAGCCTATTGATTGGTGCCACCCACATCCAGGGTGGGGCTTTCATTATACACACCCTTAATCCTGATATCACACCCTTAATCCATATTCACATACCCTAGATCCAGTCACCTCTGAAATGCCCCACCTATGACTGCATAAGAGTTTGGGAGGACATCTAGATACAAGCTGTAACACCCTCCTTCTCCCTTCTGACAGAAGTTAAGAGAATCTCCATTTCTGTTTCACTAGGATTCCAGGCAGTTCTGCCAGGTGTGCTCAGCAGGTGGCCCACACACTCCTGCCTCAGCAGTATTGATCCACACACACCAATTTACTGACACCCTCACCTGCAGAACATAAATGCATTCTGAAGTCATTGAACTTCCAAAGCAAATCACTGTCAGGAAGGGGAAATGGTGAGACCAGAAACCATATTTACAGTGAAATTGGTTTATGGGGAATGCCCGGTCCCCAGGGCAGTATTGGAAAGTGGATGAATTAATGGGTCACTTACTGTGATGGGCTTATTATAATAGCAAGTTTGCCTTCCTTCTCCTGCACGCTCTTGCCCTCTACCTTCTGCCTAGGAAAGACACAGCAAGAAGGCCCTGGCCAGATCTAGATTGCTTGACCTTGGACTTCCTGGCTTTATTACCCTCCTTTATTACCCAGTCTTTGGTATTCTGTGATAGCAACAAAAATGAACCGACAGGGGACTCTGTTTCCATTCTCTGAGGTAATCTTCTTCCTCTGTCCAGGGGTGGCTCCAGATGTTTAGATGGTAAGAAAGGGGAGGGTATGTGTAGGGGAAGATAGTTCCTCCACTCACCCCAAAACTCCCCTGAGATGCCCTCCCTCTATGGATTCACCTCAACCCCAAATATCAGTACCTCTAATATTTCATTCAACAAGCACTGGCTGTGTGTTGTTCTCTCTGAAGCAGAGGGACTAGTGCCAGATGGGCCACTCTGTGGGAGCCCTGGAGGAGACCAAAACGCCATGTCCATGCTGGGGAATTGTCTGATTCCATTCCCATGAGAGGACAGGGAAGACGGAAAAGAATGAACAGGGTATAAACTCTGCGGAGATGGGGAGGGGATGTGGGGATGGGGAAGACAGGAGGGAGGGGAGTCAGCAGGGTCGAGATGGTGTATGTATAAGCTGAGTTCCCTAGGGTGAACATATTCATTATGTACCACAAACACATACTAATCAAAAATTTTTTAAAATAAAAATAAAAGTAACTGTGATAGAGAAACTGAGTATTTTAAAGTAATGCTAAAACTGACCTGTAACCGGAAATGGCCAGGCAGAAAAGGAAGGGGCAGTGGCCCTGTGAGTGGTAGAGATGCTGGGGGTACAGAGGGCTTGGTGGGGTGCTCCCTGGGTGCACGTAGATAACAGGACCTCGGCAGGGGAGGGGCGGCCAGGACAAGTCTCATCAGGCCACAGAGAGCCCTTCCCAGACAGTTGCCTGCCGTGGGCAGCTTGGCACCTCCTCAGCTCCTCCCTCACATGTAAGCAGCTTATCTCAGGTCTTGTTTTGGCTCAGGAGTCTTTTCATATCCCAGGAGCATTTGAATGGATCAACCCCTATTTTTACTCTTGGAAGGAGAAGAAGTGAATCAGGGACATGGCCAGCTCTGGACATGTACAGGCCTGTCCCTCACAAGCACTAAATTCCTTGTAGCTTCTAGCAAGTAAAGCCCAGAGCAGAGAAGCTGAAATGAAAACACTAGTGGATCAGGCCTACTGTTAACACAGAGCTGGGTCCATAGTGGGCAATCAGCAAATGTTTGCTGAAAACAAGCATCCAGGAACCCTGGTGACCCCAAGTTGCTTTCTTCCCCTCCAACTACAGAGTGGAAAATGCAGGGTGGTGAAAGCCATGAGGTTGTTCTCTGAGTCCCTGTGGTGTCCCCCAAGAAGAGTATCTGTGGGCATGGCTACATATGGCAGAACTTCCTGGGCTTCCTGCAGGCTGGAGAACCTTTCTTTCCCTTTCCCTGAAGGTAGTCACTACATGTACCCTCGCCATGCCCACCCTTGGGTTTCCTGTTAGGTCTCTGGGCCCTTCCCATCCTTGTCTTGGTGCTTATCAAAATCCATACTGGGAGTCTGGGCTGTCCTGGGGCTGAGTCACAGGGCTGGGAGTTACAGCAAACCACTCTTCCATGCGAAGCTGTCAACACTCTCCCCACAACAAAGGCTGGAGTGGGACAGTAGGGAGGTAGGAAGAGGGGCAATGTGTTCCAAGTGGGGACCAAAGACCAAGACCCTGAGGCCCAGGGTGTTTGGATGAAGTACTAAGCTTACTGAGGTGCCAGGGGTCCCGAGGGAACGGCAGAGGAGCTGACCAAGCTGTGGTCAAATTCAAGCTCTGTGGGTTCTCTCTCAGCCTCATATGACCATGTAGACCATGACCAGGCTGAAGACATGATTCAAACATTGAGTGCCCCATCTGCCTTGCAGCTGAGCTGCTCTTGTTCCAGGATGACCATGTTGGAATTGGCCTCTGAGAAGTCTCCAGATCTGTGGTTGCCAAAATGGAGAACCAAGGAGAGCCAGTGCTCTAGCTTGAATCTAAAGGCTGAAGAATACACATGTTCCAGATTAAGTGGGCAAGCAGAAGAGTTCTCTGTCACTCGGCCTTTTTGTCCTACTTAGACCTCCGACTATTGGGATGCAGCCCCCCATGTCAAGGAAGGTTGTCATTTTCCTTGGTCTAGTGATTCCAGTGTTAAATTCACCCTAAAACACTTCAACAGATGCTTCACTCGGACCAAATGGCTGGACACCGCAAAGCCCATTCAAGGTGACTCATAGAGTTCACCATCACAACATCCCCTACCACAATTCCCATCCTTGGCAAGATTACATTTGGTTGGAGGTGCTGCCCAAACCCAGGGCAGCCATTTTGCGGGCTTAGTTAGGACTCATGAGGTATCATGGGTGAAAATCCCTAAGCAGAGACCACAGTAACTGGCAAGAATGGAGGCATGGATGGTGTTAGTCAAGTGGTACCATGAAGAGAAAAGGAGTCACCTGGGGAGAAGCAGGGACCAACAGACAACAAGGGCCCATGCTAATGGGACTGGCACAGTGAAGATCCCAGGATGCCTGAGGCTGCTGGGCAACAAGTTGGCATATGCTCCAGCAAGACCTTCTGTCCTGAGGAACCCCCAAAGCTGTGCTCCAGGGCCAGAAGTACATTGAGTTCTGTCCTACACTTATGCAAGTGTGATCCAAGTAGATCGTGAATGTTTAAATTTTCAAAAATTTGTTACAGTAAAGGACACATTGCCATTAATCCCCCTCAGAAGACTCCCCCTGTCTTTAAATACACTTATCCTAACATTTCTGCCACTTTCTGAAGCAGATCTGGAAGTCCTATTTCCTGACTGTAGTCTCAAAGGAGAGACAGAAGCAGAAGCCAGGGGCAGAAGGAAGGGACCAGACCAGGCCAGGTCTCATGGGGAGCAGAAGAATTAAGGGGAGCCCTTGGCCCAAGAAAAAACACACAAGAGACACTAGCTCCTGAGTAACATAATATCAGATCGAGGCAGTGATTTCATGGTAGGAGGGATCCGTCTGTCACTGTCCACCCCTTTCCTCCCCGAGCCGACCATCTTCACACAGTTCCCAATTGGATGCCACTCCCGGCCTGAGGTCTCAGCACTGGTGGGTGAGCACACATCTTGCCCCTGGCATGTGAAGAAAAGGTTGAAGACCAAAGTGTCAACATTAAAATGAACTGATATTGTTCTCTCATACCTGTGTCTTTGTTCACTGGACTGCTATAACAAATCACCTTAGACTGGGTAATTTCTGAACTAAAAAACAGTAACTGCTGACAGTGCTGGAGGCTGGCAAGTCCAAAGTCAAGACAGCAGCACACTGTGTGCTCAGTGATGGCACCTTCTCACAGGTCTTCACCTGGCCCCTCGAGCCCCTTTCATAAGGGCACTAATCCCATTGGCAGGGGCCCAGCCTCATGACAGCTTCATCTCCCAAAGGTCCCACTGAGAATTAAATTCCAGCCTATGAATTTTGGAGAACACAAACTTCAGGCCTTAGTAATGTGCAGACTCCCTTCTATGGTTATTCTCTATTTCTAACATTTCTGTTCTCTAAGGCATCCCAAGCGGAGCTACATCAGATGGTGTGGTAGAATGCTTTTTATTGGTGCACATTAGTAATACAGAACATGGCTTTTGTTTTAGCATCTTGCTGCATGCACAAGCACACTTGGTTAGTTTCACTCCTATTACCTCTTTCTTTTTCCTTTTCCCTTCCCCTGACCCTCTTCCGCATCCTGCCATTTCTCCTCCTACCCCCTTTTCTTAGATTTCTTTTTTTGGGAGGGGAATTTTTGATACACAGCCTTGCTCCATAGTTCAGGCTGGCCTTGAACTCACTCTGTAACCTAGACTGGCCTTAAACTTGTAATGCTTCTCCTGCCTCGGCTTCCCAAGTGCTGAGATTACAGGCATGAGCCACCATGCCCGGCTTCCAGATTTCTTACATAAGAGAAAACTTGTGATACTTAACTTTTTTGAGCCTGGCTTATTTCATTTAACATGATAGACTCCAGTTTCACCCATTTTCTACAAATGGTATGATTTCATTCTTAATGGCTGAATAGTACTCCATGGGTGTATGTGTTGTATTTTCTTTATCCATTCATCCGTTGACTGGCATCTAGATCATTTCCACAGTGTAGCTAGGGTGAATCATGCCAAGGCAAACATGTACACAGTATCACTACAGCATATCATCTTTAACTCTCTTGGGAATATACTGAGGAGTGGTACCTCTGGATCAAATGGTATCTCTATTTTTAGTTTATAGAGGTACCTCGGTATTAATTTTACATGGTAGAATTTTTTTTAAAGGCTCTTAAAGTTATTTCTTCATGTAGCACCTCAGTATCTCAGTAGAGCTTTCCCCATGTTGCTTTCAGATCATAACACCAATTTAAATGTCACCACCCTAGGATGCGGCCATGTTCTTCAAAGGACAGTGACTCTATGGTGGGTGAATGTTTTAGTTAATGTGGCTTCACTCCCCCAGAGCTGAGATTTCCCTGCCATTGTCAGTGTCACTTAAAGCATTCTCTATGACTTCTTTCTGATGTGTCTAGTATTCTATTTCCATAGCAATCACATGTGGGATCTAAAATCCACTCCTTTCATTTGTAACCCAGCACATAGAGGTTTGCGATGTGTGGTGAATTGTGATTTTCTGGGGCTGCAGTTTGAGCCTCACGCACTGTAGAGATGGTCCCTGTGGGCAGGCTCCTGCCTCCACAAAGCCATTGTGACTTTGTCACTCTGTTCCCCCACCCCCTGCCTCCTCTCATGACATAAATGAGCATTTCATGGATACAGTTGTGTTCTAGGGTGATATTAACAATCTGTAGGTTTTTACAGTTCTCATAATGCAAACCCACATACAATGTCACCTGTCTGCTCTTTCTATCATGACTTGAAAAAAAATTCTAAAATTCAACTGTTCTTGTGGGTGTGAAATAGCATCTTGCTGTAGTTTTAACTTCCATCTCTCCAATGATTAATAATGTGGAACAATTTCGAATGTGCTTATTGGCCATTCATGTACTTCTTTGGGAAGTGTTTGTTCAAGTCTTTTCTCCATGTTTAAAATTAGGTCATTTGGTTTACATGTTAATTTGTAAGAGTTCTACTATTTATTTTTGTACTCATCTTTTCCCCTAGTTACCTTTGAAATTTCTTGACATATGGAATCAATTCCCTCTACAGTACCTACCACTATTCTTCATTAACAGCAGGTACTGAATAAATATCTCAAATTTTTAGTATAAAGTTCTTGCTCTGCCTGTACAGTGACACAACCTGTTGACTTATTAAAATGATTCTGTTGGTTTTAGGTGTTTAGTTTTTTGATTGGCAGCAACTCTTACTTTTGTTTTTTGGATTTGATATCCCTCGTTCCCACATGTTACCCTTTCGTAGGCATACAGAGTATTGGTTTCCAAAGGTTTAAAGCCAATCTGGCAGAGTTTATCTGGTATTTGGGTTTAGAAGTGATCACAAACTCTGTAGTTCATTTCTGGAAGACTTAGAGAGATCTGAAGTTTTCATAATAGGTGGTCTCTTCTAAAAAGTAAACTATTTACAGTCGTAAAAAGTAGAACATTCAGTGCTATCATCACTTCATGGTTTTCTCCTCTTCTGAAGTTTATGAGACATCTCTCAGGGAAGAACCAAAGCCTAAGGGGAAGAAGGAAGAAATATAAACACTTGTATTTGAAGATAAAGATGGTGATATTCTTCAAGATATTCCACAAAAAGAATATCAGAGGCTTTTAAAAACCTTGTCTTCTTCCAATGTTGTCAGCCAGAAGCATTATAAATTTATGTTCTGCTTTGAAAGAACATCTGCAGTGATGTCATCCGCACTTTCTTAAATTAGTTCACAGAGGGCCAGCAGGACATTCCCTCCTTCTGCTGCTGCTTTGAGCTTTGTCTCCCACTCTGCTCCTGGGTGTTGCCCTGTTTTGGAAAAACTCTCATCCTTGGATTGATCGAGAGAACCACAATCTGGGATCTTTGCAAGGGTATGTATTTATTATTTTCTAGTTGACTGCTTTTAAACGTAAGCCAACTCAATAAATGACAACCTTTTTCTTATTCAAAAGGCCATACTTGCTTATTACACACAATATAACATAAAGGCACAAAGAAAATAAAAAATTATCTGGAAATCAATCTCCTAAAAATAAATACTATTTAAATCTCTTAGGTTTACTTACCACCTTTTTAATTTTCATTTTTCTGGGATTCTATATCATCTCCAAAAAGAAGCATAATGAATATATTCTTACAGATTCTAGGTGTTGTGTGTCCTGTTTTATTTTTTCTAGAACAGCTTCACACGACATTAGAGGTGTTTAACGGTGCACTGAAGTTCACTAAATACTGTCATCCTTTGTGTCTGTGTTGTGTCTCAGGAAGTTCTGTTTTGTTCACGCTCCTAATAATATTGAAATCTTTTTCAATAAGAGTATATTTTCTCTTTGCTTCATTCTGGTGTATGAAAAAGCTACTGCCTGTTGCGCATGCGGTATTTTTTTTTAATCTGGCCCCTTTACTAAGCCTTTTTAAAAAAACTTCTAAGTATTTTAAGTTGATCCTCTTGGGTGTTCAGGTTATCTAATGATATCGTCAGTATATAACAAACTTTTTGCCTTCTCCTTTCCAGTAATTGGAGTTCACATTTCTATTTCAGAGCTCATTAGATGACTCAGGCCTGCTTAGAGCAGACACACCTGCCTGGTTTCTGATTTTAATAGAAATCCTTTCAGTTTTTCTCCATGAAGTAAGAGGCCAGTCATTTGTGTAATTAGGATGTGAAAGAACCACTCTTTAGCTCTACTTTTCCCTGAAGACTTTTTAAAATGTAGGAATGTGTTTTAGGTGATATTCAATGCCCCATAAGCCGCCATTAAAAGTGGGAACTGCTGGCATAAATTACTGTAATGCTAGATTTCCCAATATTGAGTACTTTTTCAGTCTCAAGATAAAATTTCCTTAGTGATGGTAGAAAATTCTTTTAAGATACTACTTAATTTCAGCGATTTTATTTCATATTTTTAAATTGCTTTTAAGCAAGACTGGTTCATAGTTTTCATTTTTGTGAGTTACCTATATTAGGAACTAGAATCATGGCTAAGCTAGCTACATCCCATAGCTTTCTACATTTTCCTCCACTGTGGAATAATTCATATAACCTAATTCCTTAAACATTTGAAAGAAGCTTCTGAGATATGTGAATTGTACTTTACATTTCTTCCATGGTTAGTAATATATTCGTGCTTAAAATTTCTTCCCAAATTGATTTTGGTAATATGCCCAGCAAAACATCCTTTATTTAAAGATCTTTAATTATATTTTACAGAGTAAGATATCATAATCTCCTGTCGCTTTTGTTCACACCTCAGTTTAATTTTCAAAACTTTTAATCAGACAGAATTAGAATAGTAAAGTGTGCTATTCTCCCACTTAGCTTTAGCGTCGATTAGTTCATGGATAACTTTAATCTCATTCATTTCTTTCTCACTGCCACCCCGATCCTATTATTTTGAACAAATTACATCACCATAATTTCATCTATAATATTTCAGCTTATATCCCTAAAATACAGGGGCTCAGGGAAGTAATGGAAATGTGACTATCTACCTAAAGCAGTCACAATAATGACTAACATCACTAAATAGCCATTCAGTGTTCCCATTTCCCTAATTCTTCTACCCTTATGTGATGTTTGAGTCCATACATTGATATCTCTCTTCCATTTCCATTCTCTTTCCCCCTCCACCTCTTTTTTGCTCTGAAATTTCCGGTTTCTAATTTCTTATTTGCTCCTGTTTCTCGATTAGATTTACCAGAAGCCAATCTGTTTCATTTCTCTCTTATTTCTAGATTCGTTTTGTCCTATCTTCTTGATTATATTTGCATAGAGTTTACCTATTATACTTTTTAAAGAACCAAAAACTACTCTATATCAGATCTGACACTGGGCTTTCCACTTCCTCTGAACCATGTTTACCTTACTGAATTTTAGTTTCCTTAAAATCCTGTAGCACCTCAACAAACCTGTTCATCTCCTCGTCTTGTGGTCTTGGCTTATCTTACCGAAAACGTGTGTTTAAATTTTGGATGTGACTTTCCCATTCCTTTATCTCTGTGTTCTCTGTAAGAGCCCACTGGAGTTCATTTCATGGTTGATCCTTGCCATTCGGTGGCGTAAGCAGTGGAGGCTGAGATGGATCTTTGCTGTGAGTTTCAGTCTTGAGCTGCAATCTGCTAACAGCCCAGAGCTCCTCTTATCTTCAGCTCTGTTGGCAACCAAGGGGTTGGGAAGCAGCAGACTTGGGAGTTAGAGTGGCCCGTTCACCCTGAGCTTCCTCCCTGGCCACAGCCTTCCCAGCAGCAGCCACTTGCAGGATTCTCGTGGAAGCTGAGAGCAGCCATGACCTCCTGAGGGTGCTCGTGGGAGATGCCTCCACCTACTGAACTGCCTAGGACAGCACGCTGTCCTCAGACCCACGGAGTGAGCTTCCAGCCAGTCTGCAAACTATAATCCCTGCTCATCCACTGCGATCGCTCTTGCCCCACTCACTGGGCCAGACTCATGCGTGAGTGGGGGACTCGCTCCTCATCCAGTGTGCTACCTCTCAACCTTCTGTTCTTAATGCTTATCAGCCTGCTCTTTCAATACAGCCTGGCTTTGATTTAGGCTTTCTGGTCTTGCTTTATGGACTACAGTCTTTGGCCTTCATGTATTCTATTAGGGATGGCAGGCTGCTTCCAAGCAATTTATTTCTGGTACTTTTCTTTCTCTCCCTTCCCTTCCCTTCCCTTCCCTTTTTTTCCTTCCTTCCTCCCCCTTCTTTCTCTCCCTCCCTCCCTTCTTTCCTTCTTCCAACACTGGGGATTAAACCCAGGGCCTTTGCACTGAGCCACATCCTCAGTATTTAAAAATTTTTTTCATTATATTATTTTTTGAGACAAGGTCTTGCTAAGCTGCTAAACTGCCCAGGCTAAACATCAACTTATGATCCTCCTGCTCCTGCCTCAGCCTCTCAGACAGGGGGTTTATAAGCATGTACCGCTACACCTAGTTAGTTCTGCTTTTTCTACTAAATCATTTTCAGTTTCCAAAAATATTTATTTCTGAAGTCTTCTCACCCTCCTCTGAGTCACCAGGATTGTTGTTCCAACTTTTTTCCTATTTTTAAATTTTAATTGGTAGCATATTGGCATTTTCTTCTTTGATTTACTTTTCTAGGAAGAAATGTTTACCCAGACTTGATGATAATCCATATAAAAATGTGTCATCAGCCCTGCATCTCACTGGCAATGAGCTTTATGGCCACGGCTCTGTGTGGCAGACAGCAGGTGCGCTGTACACGCAGGTGCAGTATCAGATGGTGTGATGACTCTTATAGGACCTTAGTGACACCAGGAATGAGGCCTGATGGTTACACAACGAGAAGCAACAGCAGCCAAGGGAAGTGCCCGACCACACATCCAGTCTTCCCACCGCCTACTGCTCATCACCTAAAATCTAGGGCCCAGATTTTAGAAACTGCACGATCACCTCTTTCTCCCAGCTCTCCAGGCTCACTGAGCACGGCCACCGCCTCGCGCTGCTGACCCCTGCTAGTCCCATGTGGGCATCTGCTGGGCAGAATCTAATCTGCACCCCAAGCCTGGCTGTGCTAGGTGGGTTTTCATTTCCTGTCAACTGCTGTGCTGGATCTCACTGAAGGGCAGGAGGAAAGGCCCGTGAGAAGCTGCTGCCCGGACAAGCCCAGTGACGGACGGAACACTGTCACCCATGGCCCAGGCCTGAAAGCCTTCACGTGGTGGCCTTGTGGCACAGGGGTGTCTGCCACCAAAACACTGATTTTCTGGGTCCCTGAACTGAGGAGGGCTATGAAAAAGTTAGAGTCCCTCTTGCACCGACTCCCAGGTTCTTCCTGCTCATCTCTTCTCCCACAGATGTTTATTTTCTCACATGAAATGTGTCGCGAGCCATGGCTCTCCACACCACTCCTCAGCACACCCACTGAGAGCCAAAGTCTGAGCAAAAATACAAAGTTACGGGGAGAAAAAGGAGAAACTTGACCATCAACATGGCAGAGAGGCAGCTGCACAGTTTCTATACCAAAACGGATCCTAGGAGCATGAGTTGGGAGCAGGCTCTGTGTAGGACCAGCCTTGGGCAAACCCCAGGTGGCCAGGTTAAGGCCATTGGGAAGAAATTACCTGCACAAATTCTGGAAGTCACATCCTCTGGCTTTGTGAAACTGCAAGGTCACTTGTTTAGGTAGGAGGCTAGTTTTTCTTTCCTTGACAAAAACGGTGCATGATTTTTCAACAAATAATGCTGGAATAACTGGATATCTACAGGTAAGAGAGCCAAGTTGGCACTACCTCACAACATATATAAACACTAACTCAAAACCACCTCAGGCCTAAATGTAAGGGCTACAGACATAAGATAAACAAAGGGCTACTAAGCAAGCAGAAAGAGGCTTGGTTATTAGTTTTTTAAGACACACGAATCAAAACCACAACATGAGACACTTCATATCCACTAGGACAGCTAACGTTGAGAGAGAGAATACTAAATGTCTGTGATGATATAGAGAATTTGAGTCCACACTCATAATTGATGGAAATTTGAAATAATACCTTGGCAAACAGTTTGGCAATTCTGCAAAAAATTAAATAGAAAGTTACCATATGGTGCAGGAATTCTACTCCTGAGTTTTGAACGCCTAAGTACAATAAGTCTCGGACTCACAAAAGAGCTCTGCTCCAGGAGAACTTGTAAGTGGATTTGTTTGTAAGTCTGACAAAGTGAGTCCCACACACCTTTGACACAGATACACAATGCTTACTGCTCTGCGCTTCCCAGCACTCCCCCCCCCAGGTCACCACTGCTCTGCCTCTTGCTTCCGGACATCCGGGCTCTGAGTGATGCTGTGCACTGTGTGCTATCGCACTGTGCAGTGAGCACACAGTGGCCCAGGGGTGACAATGTCCGCCAGACACGGAGCTACTTCCACGATTTGTTCTCATCTACGCAATGCGAGGTCTGTTCTTATCTGTGAAAATTTGCAACTCAAATGTTCCTAAGTTGGGGACTTACTAACGCAGAAAGATTTGTATACAAATGTTCATAGCAGAATTATGCATAAGAGCCAAAGAATGGAAAAGCCCAAATATGAATCAGAGGATGAATGTGATGAACAAAATGTGATATTCCAATCATTATAAAAAGAAGTTAAGTACTGATACCTGCCGGATATGGGGGTTCTAAGGATATTAAGTGAAAGGAATCAGTCACAACATCTCTAATTGTCAGATTCCATTCATATCACATGGCCCTCACTGGGCAGTCCACTGAGCCAGGAAACAGACTAATTGGGGGACTTAGGAGAGAGATGGAGAGACAGCGACAATGGGGATAGTTTTTCTTTAGGGGGACAAAAATGTTTTAAAGTGAAAGAGAGGTGAGGCTGCCCAAGCCTGAGCACACAAAAACTCCACTGAATTGTATTTTACAAAAAGGTAAATTTTGAGGTGTGTGAATAAAGTAAAAAAGCAATACATGAGATTATTTGAATCTCACCCAAAGCACTGCTCACTTGGCATAGATTTATTCATGATATTGTAGAAAGTAGAGTCCTAGCTTCATTAAAATTTCTCAAAATTGCAAAATAGGACAGAAAAACATTGAAGTTCCACATTAAACAGTTCTTTTATAAAAAGCAAACTAAAAGCAGAAGAAAGGAGACAGTACAGATAAAAGCAACAATTACTGAGTTAGAGATTTTAAAAACAGTAAAAACGCTTTAAAACAGTATATAAAAACAAATTCAAATCTAGTTCACTGAAAAAAATACAACAAAGCAGACAAACCCAGTAAGAAAAAAAGGAGGTTCTACAAATATAACAAGTGACAAGGGAGGAATAATTATTGAAACAAAGAAAGTTAAAAAGTAATTTGCATTTCATCTCTGGCCTTGAGGGAATAACAAAACCCAGACATCCCATCTCCCTGTAAACTACTTGAAAATTGGACAAAAATAGAGCAGGCAACTGTTTTCAGACATTGGTCAATAGATAGAGCATTACTACTGTGCCAGTCAATTTTCTGTTGCTGTAATGAAATACCTGAGACTGGATAACATGTAAAGGCAAGAGGTTCTTGTAACTCACAGTTTGAAAGGCTGAAAGTCCAAGATCCAGTAGCCACGGTGATTTGTCCTCCAGTGAGCTGCCCCAGCTAGGTCACCTCATCACATCTGTCGAGAAAGGGTGCAAGAGGCAGAGATGACTCAGTGAGACAGGAAGCCAGAGCGAGGAGAGGAGTCAGGCTCAGTCTACAGCAACTGACTCTAAAGGGAGCTGCCCAGGGATCCCAGGGATCGACATGAATCTCTTCTGCGGGCAGTGCCCTCATCTCCTGACAACCTAAGCCAACCTCTTACAGGTCTTCCCGCCTCTCACACCAGCACACCAGGGCCTGCATTTCCAACATGTGAATGTTTGGGGGACAACCACAGCAGAGCCATAGCAGTGTGAACACCAGTGAAAGACGAAGAGGAGACAGGAAGGCTGTAGTAGCCCTGACTTTCTAGCTAGAGGCATTTTCCAGGCCATCGGCGCAGAAGTGGCATCCCAAACAGAGCCCAGTGGTCTCCAAGAGTTGAAAGAAAAGAGCTGAGTTCAGGGAGGCTGACTCTGCAAGTCATGGGGCCAAGCTCTGAAGAGGGAGCAGCTGCTCAGAAAAATGGCTGTAGACATCTGCATAGATCTCTGCTTCTTTGCTCCCATGTAGGCTGAATCTCAGTTTTAAAGATGGGCAAAGAAGGACCACAGAGCTGTAGGGTGACTGAGGACCAGGTCCCATGAGGGGAGGTTTGAATGCTCAGAAGTTGAAATGCGGATCCTCAAGAGCAATTCAGAGCAGCCACTGAATACCCAGAGCCCTCAGTCCTGGGCTCAGCCCAGCAAAGCTTAGAAACAACCCACACAGGTCTGGAGGCAATGTCTTCCAAATGGGCTCTCCACTGTGTGGCGGAAACCAGCATAGACCAGACCTAGGGACGCACCATTTGTAGTATCCTGCCAAGGATTGCAAGACACACCAAAAAACTGCCCAAGAACTTGGAGAAATATCAACCATTAGAAGCAAATCACAAAGAAGAAGGGCATGATGCCCAGTGTTACATTTATAAGTAAAATGTATGACAGTGATAGCACAACAGATAGCCAGCAAAAATAGCAGTGTCATGTTCTAAGGGCTATCCCTTACACAGGAAGGGGTGACATACTATTATTTCTATTCAGTTAAAAATGTATGTTGTAAATATTAGAATAACTCTTTAAAAATAATAAAACAAAAGGGGATAGCTTATCATTCAATAGTGTACATAAATAGGATAGTAAAATTTGCATATAATCTAAAACAAAGTTGGAATTGAGGAAAAGAAATAAATGAGGGTTGGAACAAATAGAAAAAGTCAACAAGATGATAGATTTAAAGTCAAACATATTGGTGATTACTTAACACATAAGCATTTACACTATTATTAGAAACAAAGCTTGTAGGAGTAAAAGAAAGACAAAACCACGTGCAATCTACAAGGAACTCAGGTGACAGTAAAGACAGGTGAAGGTAAAATGTACCATGCAAACAATAATCAAAATAAAGTAGGACTGGGCATAGTAACATCAGAGGAAGTAGACCTCAGAGAAAAGTATTATTATCAAGGATGAAAAAGGACAGAGGAATATCCATCACAAAGGCATAACAATCCCAACACCCCCCCTCCCCCCCATAAAGCAAAAACAAATGGACCTTAAAGAATAGGCAACAATATGATTGTAGTTGGAAATCTCTGCATTCTTTTCCAAATAATTGCAGAGCAAGTAAACAGAAATTCAGTGAAGATATAAAAGACTTGAATAACACTGTTTACCAGAGTGACTGATGTAAACATAGCTGTATCAACAGAAGGAGAACCAAGTGCACCAAGAAAGGCCATGTGGGTGTGCGGCCAAAGAACAAGTCTCAACAAATTAGCAGGGTTGAAATCATGCATAGTTTATGCTCTGCCCACAACAGAACTTAATCAGTCAGAACAATCTGGAAAATCCCCAAATATTTGGGAGTTAAACAAAGTACTGCTAAATAAACAGGACTCAAGAAGGACTAATAATGTTTGAGCCAAATAGGAATAAAAACACAAGATTTTGAAATGTGGAGGGTGCAGCTAAGATCTACATTTCTACTTTAAGAGGATAGAAACAACAAAAAATGCAAATTAAGTCCAAAAATAGAAAGAAGGAAATGCGAATCATAAAATAGAAATCCATGAAATAGAAAATGCTAAAAGACAAATCACAATAACATTCATGAAACTCACAGCTGTTTCTTTGGGGGAAAAATCAATGAAACCGATGAAGCTCTAACTAGATTTATCTATTGAAAAAGAGAGATGACACAAATTACCATATTAGGAGTAAAAGAGATGGATTACTATAGATCCTATAAACTCTAAAAGGCTATTTCAATTACTTTGGTAACTTAAATGAAACAAATTCTTTGTTATAATATTGCTTTGTTCACATTAGAGGATGTTTTTATTTTTAAGAAATTTGTGTAGTAATATTTAAAGTGCTACTCTCTTTCAAATAGATCAGCAAATTGTTGGCAATTAGAAGTAGTGAATACACAGGTATTTTTTTACCTTTCTGTAAATAGTGTACAGGCTCCACATCTTTGGATTCAGCCAACTGTGGCTGGAAAATATCTGAGAAAAATATTGTGTCTATTGAACTTGTACAGAATTGTTCCTTGTCATTGTTTCTGAAAGAATACAGTATAATAATTATTTATATTACATTTACATTGCACAAGATATTATAAGTAATCTAAAGATAATTTAAAATATACAGGAAGATCTGGGCATGGTGGCACATACCTATAATCTCAGCACTCTGGGAGGCTGAGGCAGGCAGATTACAAGTTTGTGTCCAGCCTGGGCAACTTAGCAAGACCTTGTCTCAAAGTTTAAAAAACAAAAACAGAGACAAAATAGAAGTCTGTGCATATGTCTTACACAAATACTGTGCCATTTTGCACAAGGGATTGAACATCCGTGGATTCTGGTGTCTGTGTTGTTTCCTGGAAACAATACTCTGTGGATGCTAAGGGACAAACTATATTTAACAGTGTTTGTAATACAAATCGTAGGGGACCGGAAGTCAGGCCCACACTCTTGTCAGGAGGCGGGCTATTCTATCAGAGGGCATTGAAATGGGCTGATGACGGGAAGCCCCGTGACCTGACCCTGTCACTCTGGAGGCAGGCTGTGGCCTTCCTTCTATGACAGGCTGAGGCTCTTTGTGACACTGAGGGACAGTAGTTCCTGCTCCCTCCACTAGCAGCAATGGCTAGCAATGACAACAAAAAATCCTGAGGTCCTTCGCTGAGTTTTCTAGCCACTCAGAATAGCTGGGAAAATGCCCTGGGTGTCCATGTTGGGCCCTGCTTGTAAACAGAGTCAGTCCTCCTCGAAGCTTTGAAGAGGAGGCCTGACTCACTCAGACACAAAACTGTGGCCTCACTGGATGCTAATTACTCAGCAGAGCTCTATTTACTCAAACTTCCCGTAAACCCAGCTCGAGTGGAGTGGGAACAGCATAAAGAAGCAAAAGGCGATGGGAGAAATGACACAAATAGATTGTCCAGGCCCAGGAGTCCTCTTTGCAGAAATGATGCTGCCAATTGCCCAGGAATAAACAACACAAGAGTTGACAGATCCCACATTTAGGGGCTGAGAGCAGCTTTCCTACAACTCCAAGGGGCTGGGTATTTGGAAATATTTGGAAATTTGTAAGGATAATTGGCATTCGAAAGCCAAGAAAGATGACATGAGCAGCATTTCCCATATTTTGATAAATGTGTGCGATGAGTGGCTGCAATCTACTGGAAACTACTGGATGCTTACTACCGATCTCCACCGGTGCAAGAAAGAGGCCCTCCGACTGCGGGTCCAGCTGATGTCCAGCGATCAGTGCCCCCTCGGCCCGAACACTGACCCTAGAGGGAGTGACATGGACCAGCAGCAGCCTCTTTGCACCCGGATGTGCGTGGCGGAAACTAGTTTCTGTGAAGTCATCAGCACAGGAAGTTGGTTTGGCTGGGCCTCACTGGTGCGTGGACACCAGAGGCGTCGATATCACAGAAGCAGAAAGCAGAGAGGTCAGGGCAGTCATACGGAGCAGAGAGGTCCGAGAGCAGGTACCAAAGGCCAGGGAGGGAGGAGGGATCCCTTCCAGCGCACATAGAGGGGCTGCAGTGCCCACCAATTTACTGCACGTTCAGTGAAGAAGTCCAAGGGAGCAGTTCCGAAGTTCCAGCACAACGAAGAAGTGATAACTATTTAATGAGATAGAAATGCTGGTCGATTAATCATCATATTCCATACATAGATCGAATCATCACACTGTACCCCCTACATGCACACAATTGTTAGATGTCGACATAAAACATTTCTTGAAAAACTATGGAAAATATATCACAGTTTCCCCAAATGCTATCTATCATTAGTGATTCATTTTTTATTTCTACTTTTTGGCATTTTTGTAATAAAAATAAATGTTAAAAAGATGAAAAGATTCTTTGCAGGAGATAATCAAACTACTTGTTTTCTTGCGACTGTTGAGCAGATGGAGCTTCTCAATGGCTTAATGCTGTCATAGATGCTGAGTATAAAAGTAGCAAAGGAAACAGCTGAATCTTGGAAGTAACCTCTCTGGCCAGTAATAAATGAATGGATAAAGAAAGTGTGGTAGTCACATACAATGGAGTACTACTCTGCCATAAAGAGGGATAAACTTGAGTCATTTGTAGGAAAATGGATGCACCTGAGACGGTAAGTAAAATAAATTAGACCCACAAGTTTAAATACTACATGGTTTCTCTTATATGAGAAACTCAAAGCCTAAGTAAATTAAAGAGCAAAATAGAAGATAGATAATAGAGAGTGAGATAGATCTTCTCCAAAAGGAAGGGAACAAATGGATGGGAAAGGGAGGAGAGGGGACATAAAAAGAATGAAGCTGTGTGATGCACATTTACCAACTCCCCACAATGAATGGAATCATTATATATTACAAACTTGCACTAATAAAAAAATAAATTGCTGCTTATTTTCAAGTAACAGGGTGGGTGCTGTAGTCCAATTAAAATTGTTTAAATAAAGAAAAGTAGGAGAGAGGATGACTGGGCCTGGTGGAACTGGGCCGTCCTCTGGCTTAGCTGACAGGTGGCTGGGGCCCTGGAGTGACAGTCCTCTGACCCCCGCTAGTCCTTGGGTCTGTCCATTCTGTGAGGGGCCACAACCAGGTCCCTAGGAACAGCCATGCCGGGTCACCTTCATTCACACTCCCTCCAAGGGCTGCCGAGTGCAACCCAGGCCAGGAGGGCTTTGGGGAAAGCATCAGTGGCCTGGCCCCTTACCTCCAAGCTTGACTGAGTCATTTTACCACTCTGCATTCAGGTCATTTGCTACAAAATGGGATGATATATTTGCTCAGAGATTAAGCAAAGCAACTGGTGACTGGCACCCTAGGGTACTCTGCTTTTCTCTCTTGTGGTGCTTACATGGGATAAAAGAGTTTGCAATGCTAAGACAATAATCATTTCGTTAATGAAGCAGCCAACAATAGGCAACATCACTAGTGGGTGGTGACCTGTGCGGGACTGGAAGCTTTCTTCAGTTCAAGCTTTCAATGGCTTCTCATGACACAGCCATTGCCAACATTAAGTTTGGGCTCGTTTTGGAAGCTCTGTCTATGCTTACAGCCAGGACAGTTCTTCGCCCAGCGTCCTGGGTGTGGGGGAGCAGGGAGACATTGTTACTAGGGGTTTAATTTAATTGCACCCTGTGAAGATGGTGGCAGACAGCGCTCTTGGGTCTGAGCATCAGGTGCAGGCTCGCTTTGACAGCACAAGTTCCAGTCTTCAGGGGCCTTGGGGGCAAAGCTTGGGCCTGTGTAATACACATGATTTCTTTTCATTTCTAAACATCATAAGTGACAAAGGTTAGAACACCAGGAACCAGGACTTAAGGGGAACTTGTACAAATCTGTAAGAGAAGGATAGCAAGTTGATTTAAAAACAGGCAAAAGTCTTGAGCAGGTGCTTTACAATAGAACAGGGATGGGCGGCTTAGGTCTCATGGACTTGGTCAGCCCCACTGGCCCGATGTGATCAGTGGGACTTGTTGGGGCACAAGTGTGAGCCATGGCTGCTTTTGCTCTGTAAGAAGGTATCTGAGAATTCAGCAAGACCACCCCACCCAGCCTGTGTAGCCAGAAATATCACCGTAGAAGATACTGGGTGCCTGGTAACTACCCAGAAAATGCCTCAGCTTTATTACCCAACATGGATATGCAAAGTAGGCTCATGGTAAGATGACACTGCACCTTTTACAACGGCCCAAACTGAAAAGAGTAACAGTGAGCCCTCCTGCGTGCGTGGATGGTTGATGGGTAAATCATTTCGGCTTTGGAAACCAGGTTGGCATTTCTCACAGCTAAACCTGCACATCTTCACGCCCAGCCATTCTGGGCAGATACGCAGGAGAACCAAGGATCACGCCAGTAAGGGGCACGCGGGAATAGTCCTGGAACCTGTGCTTGCAAGAGCCCTAAACCTAACGTCCATCAGTAGAGGAACGGATTAAATAAGTCATGATGCGTGCACACAGTAAATGTTCTTTGTGCCATGCAGGGACATCTCACAGAAATAATGTTGAGCAAAAGAAAGCAGATCCGGGACAGTCCACATTGTACTCCTCTGTCTGTGAATGTCAGTAGCTGCTTCATCTGTGTAGATGTCAGAACAGCAGTTACCTGTGCAGTCACTGCTGTGTATGTGCTGGGAAAGGGGACTAGGAAGTCTTCTGGGGCTGGGCTGTTCTAATTCTTACTCTGAGGAGTCACTGAATAGCACGCCTGAGATCTGGCCACTATTTATGGTAGAAGGTCCAGTGTAAGAGCAAAAATAGAGATTAAAAAAGACTGTGGGTCCCTTTGAATTGAACCTTATGCTGACAGTGGATACTACAGAGCCCTGTGTAACTAGAATCCAAAGTATAATTCCTTTTATGTTTTGCACAGAACATAATTGCATTTGTAATGAAGTCCTCCATTATAACCAGTCACTTCTCAACAGAGGGGACTAATTGGTATCCATTACCCCTGCCCTCATCTCTGATGGGTTTGATAGGGCATCCACTGAAGAGACCAATGACACAGGCTGAGGTCACTTACTGAAAGGCAACCAGGAGCCTTCCCTGTTCACTCATCAGTGATGTGACAGGAGAAAGCACCCCAAGAGTGTTGGCCTCTCCCACCGATGGTCTGGGAGGGTGACACAGGGATGGAGTTGGATTCTTGGTGAACCCAGGACTGCTGCTCTGGAGAAGATCCTGGGAGTCCCTCTACCACACTTCAGGCAGGAAATGTCCTCACAGATGCCCACAGCCGGGAACAGAGCAAAGTGGATGCAGCTACCTGTCGGTCTCTAAAGGGAGGAGGATATTTTCTCCGGGTGATTTGGATCCTCTTCTGCTCAGGCAATCCCAAGGGGCGTAATACTCACGAGTGGATCAAACCATTGGTGACAAGTTCATGTGATTTTAGGAGGTGGGGCCTGGCGGGAGGGTTGGATCACTGAAGATGTGGCCTGGGCAGGTGCATTCTTGTTCCTGTCTGCTGCTTTCTCTCTCTGATCTTGGTTATCATGAGGGGAGCACCTTTCCTCCTCCAGACCCTTCCACCATTCCACTTCTGCCTTGGAGTCAGCTTACCATGGACTAAGCTCCCCAAACCATAAGCCAAATAACACTTCTCCTCCTCTAAATTAGGCATTATTAGGTGTTAGTTATTTTGTCCCAGCAATTAAAAAGCTGACTAATATAGACAAAGACACTATTTCTAAAGAGGGTTGCTTTCTGAGGCTCTGGGGGAGACATGAATTTGGGGAAATACAGTGCCCAGCATAGGCACCAAACACCAAGTGCTTATTTCTACTACCCTACCTGCTTTGCAGATGTATGGAGAAGGCTGCTGTGGCCACGTTGCAGGATGTGGAGGAGCCTCAGGCCTCATGTTGTGGGAGGACCAAGCAAAGGGGAGGAGGGCAAGGATGGAGAGCTGGTTGCCATGGAGATTTCCTCTTCAGTTTCCACGGTCCTCTTCACCCCCATGGTCCTGTTCCTCCTCCACAGGCATGGATTATTCTGGAGTCAATGCACCCCACATAGAGGGACCCCCCCACATACACCCTTTCCTTCCTCCCCCAGTCTCCTGGGGTCCAGCTCTGAGAGGATTAGGAAAGGCTTGAGCTTCTAGGACAGAATGCCACGTGGGTGCTGACAAAGGAGTTCTTCCTGCGTCTCTCTAGAGATGGGGACAGGATTCACGGGGCTGGCTCAAGACCCGATAGTGCCCATGCCTTCTCAGGCTTGGCCTTGGGGCAAGGCCAGAGCTTGAGGGTTTTTTCATTTTCTTATCCCACTCAGAATCCTATGGTGCTGGACTAGGAAGAGATTTGATTTCAGTTGAAAGATTCCACCTGACTCCTGAAATTAGATATTGAGGGGGCGTAGGGCACCAAGTTGTCCTTTTACATCAATTTTTCAATTACTCTAACCTATGAGATTTTGTTCGTCCCAACCTTATGATTCAGACTTGAAATTTCATCAGCACAGGAACAGGAAAGAACATTCAAATGTAAAACCGGCCTCCAACTGGCCAGGCTTGAAGCTAAGGGGGAATTACAGCAGCCAGCGTTTGCACAGGGTGAAGACCCAAGGCTGGTTAGGGATGCGACACCCGAGGAGAGGAGCGCTCTGCCAGCCCACTGAGCCTTTCTTGTGGCAATGCTGTTACCTTCCGGTGGGGCTAAGGGTGAGTTCAATCTGGACCAATTTCCACCTCCTCTCCCTCTGCTGTGAGGTGGCCCTGGGCCCCATGGGTGTGTCTGCTCCGCCCCTCAGTCCCAGCCTTTGGCAGCTTAGGGAAGACGTCCCCAGGAAAGAGGGGGTCAGAGCCCCAGCTCTGTTCTGTCCCCAGGAGGAGCCGGCCCAGACCTGATGGATCACGCCTGGGGAAGGCTGACCCTTCAACCCAGCCCCACCACATTCCTTGGGGAGGTTTGGAAGTATGAAAAAAACAATCCCACTCCACACTCGGCCCCGCAGAGAGAGTGCAAGGGCAGGGGATAGCAAGTGACTGCAGAGAAGGAATCCTGGGTAACGGGCAAACACGGTGACCTTGTGACAGCTTCCATGCTTGGACATAAGATCCTCTTGTGGACAATGGAGCCCGTGTCTCCTTATTTGTTCTGAGGGGCTTGGTGACTGAACAGCACCCACCTAAGCAGACTTTGCTTATCAGCAGAATTAGTACAGATACAACCAGAATTAGTACAGATTCCTCCATGTGAAAGTGACAGGGAACTCAGATCAAACTGGCTTCAGCCTCCAAGGTAGCTCATTGGTGTGAGTAATGTTTTGTAAGACTGAGACAAGGGCTTCAGAGAACAGCTGGATCCCAGGAGTCCACCTCTGTTTCCTGAAAGCTCTGCTGCTCACTTCCAACAGCTCAGCTTTCAAACATGGTGTCCAATGGGATGAGATGGCTGCTGGCTCCCAGCACTTCTGGGCTCCTTGTGACGTGAGCTCAGAAGGGGAGTCTGGGTCTGCTGGGGTCTTATGGCCGCCCTGCCCTGTGGGCTTGGAGAGGGACCCCAGGTGGAGAAGGGAGATCCTAGCAAGCAAGAGAAGGGTGCTGAGCCCCACATCTGGCTTCCAGAGGGATGTGTGACGTAGGCCCCCAGGCTGAGCCTGGCACAGTGATCAGCAGAGACTGGAGGGGAAGAAGTTTGAAAGCAGGAAAAACTGGAGTCTTCAAAGACCTCTCTGCACTGACAGTCATGCAGCTTTACGCTCCGAAGATGCTCTGTAAACAAGGGGGACAGAGGGCTGGCAGGCACAGAAGGGCCCAGGGCACTACCGACTCTGCCTCCTGTGCCCGCCATGCCAGTCAGCCCAGCGGAAACCCACGTGAGCCAGGCACTACAGGACCTGGTGCTACCGGACTGGTGACACGTAGTGATTGTCAGTGATTGTATTTCACCCCACCTAACACGTGTGTGGGGATATTTGCTGCTCCTTTTTCAGTTGATATTCTTAGATCACCTGCAGAATTTCAAGTGGAATGTCTAGAATTGCAATCATTCAGCTCAAAGACATATCTTGGCTTCACAGTGACACCTTATTCCGCATCACTCTTTGGAAAAGCGGGGACATCTGGCAACAACCACATTCAAGGATGGACACAAAGAGTAAAATTGGATCAGGAGTTTCTGCAGAACACTCTGAGAACTCACTAAGAATTGCAACCATTTCCATCAAGCCAGACAGTGAGGCATCTGCTTCAAAAACCAAGGTCAAATATCCCACTAGTCTTGTGCTTAAAAAATGTTATAATTGGGCTGGGAGTTTAGCTTAGTGGTTCTAGTACCTGCCTCACAAGCACAAGGTCCCGAGTTCCATCCCTGGTACCAAAAAAAAAGTTATAATAATAATACACAAAGACTTTTTTGTTATACATACACATTAACTATATTATATCCTGTATGTGAAGCCCAAGGGAATTCCTCTTCACTCAGTGCAACCCCAGGAAGCCAAGAGGCTGGACACCCCCGCTCCGCACCCTGCGGCCCAAGGCTGGGTGTGGAGTTAGCCAGAGAGGTGACTTTTGGGGGCCCAAGAACAAACTTGCACGGGAAAAAAATTACATTTGCATTTTCACTGACTTCCAACTGATATCAAGCATTGTTTTTGATTACCGGCTGGAGGCAGTGGAAGTGGACTACTGGTTTCTGGGTGACTCTATTTTCCATTTTATACTTCCTGTGGTGGCCATATCAGTTTGTATTCCCACCAACAGTGTGCAAGGGATGCCCCTTGGCCACATCTCACTAACACTGCTGGTCTTTTGTCTTTTTGTGGAAAGCCATCCCAACAGGTATGAGGTGGTATCGCATTACCGCTTAGATTTGCATTTCTGTGAGAGTGGGTGAAGTCCAACTTCTGATCATTTGCATGTCTTCTTTTGAGCAATATCTATTCAGACCTGTTAAATGCAAACTCATGAGATGGAATAAATGGGCTTCTTGGCTAGCAGAAGGATCAGATCCCTGAACACATTCCTGCCAACCATCAACAGGAAGGGTAGATGGGAATCAAGAAAATGCCCACTGCACCTACCAGCCAAGAGCATTTTTATAATGAAAAATTGGGGAAAAAAATCATAAACGATTTATATTGAACTTACATTCCCTGTGGATTCAAGAGGTGGGATAGATGAAGTGGGAAAGTTTTTTGTGATCAGAGCACAGTCCAGAGGGAAAAGCACTTGCTGCTTCAGGAATGGTTGGGGTCAGTAGTCTGGAAAGTTTATACATCACCAGCAGGTACTAGAGCTTGGTGGGTTGACCACCCAAGGGTGTTTTAAGCCAAGGTTGTAATCTATGTTAAAGAATGTGGAATAATCTTTTATTGGTTTCAGCAGCAGCTGTTAGGTAATTAACTTTCCTTATCTCTTCCTCCATTCTATGGCCCCTGTAATTAAATCTCAAAGTTTTTTTTTTTTTATCAGATCCTTTGCCCAGTTTTTATTTGGATAATTTGATTTTTTTGCTATTGACTTGTTTGTGTTCCTTGTACTAGCATGGTTAAAAAATATGATGAATGTTTAAGTGAAAATATTTATTACAGGAAAAGACACATTGCCCTTCAAAATACTCAAAGTATTTCCCATTGGTTTGAACACATGTATCCCATCATTCTCGGCAATGTGTCTTTTACTGTAGTAAGTTTTAAGAAATTAAAATCCACCATAGGTATTTTCTGTCCCCCTTGTATATTACAGATGTTAAGCCCTTGTCAGGTGTATGATTTACAAAGATATTCTATAGTTCCTATAGACTGTCTCTTCACCCTGTTGGTTGTGTACTTTCCCCTTTAGCTTTTTAGTTTGATGTGATTCCATTTGTCTATCTTTGTTTGTGTTGCTTGTGCTTTGGGACAGCAGGGTGGGGATAAATGACTTCCCTTTATGCTCCTAGGCTTTTTGGTTGGCTTACAAATTAAATACAGTAAGACAGATTAGCAGGAGGAAACTATACAATTGCATTATGTTACAAGGGCACTACATGAAATAAGACTGAGTACCTCAAACTGAGGAAGGCCTAGAAGTTTATATTTGTTCTTCATAGGAGAGGGTGGAAGGGAAGGGGAAATATTTGGAAAACATGAATGACCCTCAGAGGAATGAATACCAGCCTGTTTGGTCATGGTGTTGCTCTCCAATTTCCTGATCCATGACCCAATTCATCTTAGCTGGTGGATAGGATTCCGAAGGAGGGATTCGTGGTAATTGAGTTCCCTTTGGAGGATCGTCTATGCAGATGAGGGAGCTCAGGGAAAGGCTCTGCCCATGTCTTCAAGTGCCCTTTGTCCAAAGTCAGCAGCACCCCATGCTTGGGGTGGCAGCTCTTGCTCTTATGTAATAAAAGTTGTCTCTGAATAGCCCTCTTCCTGATGTAGACACTTTAATGCAGATTTCCTTCATTGCTGGAAATTGCTTTCACGAAAGAACAACTTACCATAAGTGATGTTAGTTTCCTGTTGCTATAACAAAATGCCTGAGTTAATTGACTTCTAAAGAGAAAAGGTTTATTCTGGCTCATGGTTTCTAAGGTTGTAGTCCCTGTTGCTTTGGGCTGGTGATAGGTAGCACAGCATGGCAGAAGAGCAGGCAGAGCAAATCACCCACCTCAGGATGAGCCAGGGAGCAAAGAGAGCAAAGACAGAGTCAGGGTCCTCTATTCCTCTGCAGGAGCATTTCCCCAGTGACCTAAAGACATAACACCAGGCTTGGCCTCTTTTTTTCTAATCTTCTCATAGTACTGGGGACTGAACCCATGGCCTTGCACATGCTAGGCAAGTGCTTTACATTGTGCTGAACCCCCAGCTCTAGGCTGTACCTCTTAAAGTCTCCACCATCTCTCAACAGTACCAGGCTGGAGACCAAGACTTTTCCATGTGGACTTTTCAGGACATTTGAGATAAAAAACATAGCAGAACTGCTCCTGTATCTCTAGTTTCTCAGAATTAGCAAATCTGTGTATGTCACAGAGGTACATTTTTCAATGATGTATTCTCGTCTTCTATAGTAATATGTTGGAGTGGTGTGTCCTGCATCTCTAGTTTCTCAGAATTAGCAAATGTGTGTATGTCACAGAAGTATATTTTTCAATGATGTATTCTCGTCTTCTATAGTAATATGTTGGAGTGGTGTGTTCTGAGCCCGCCCAAATTATTGCCCAGGCAAAAGTGTGGAGCTTCCTCACTGTGTTTTCTTCTAGTAGATTTATGGTTTCTATCTTATGTTTCTTGTTAGTGCAGGTTGAGTGGTTTTTGTATGTGATGTGTGTGGAAGGTTGAGTTTCATTCTTCTACATGTGGACATTTGATTTTCCTGGTACTATTTATTAAAGAGATTACTCTTTCCCTGCTGTATGTTTTTGGCACCTTTGCCAAAAATCAATCAACCATAATTGCATCAATTTGTTGCTGGGCTCACTGCTGTTTCTGTTTTTATGGCAGTACTGTGCTGTTTTCATTACTACTGCCTTGCACTAAGTTTTGAAATCAGGTAGTGTGATGCTTCCCACTTTGTTCTTTTTGCTCAAGATTGCAGAGGTTTTCAGAGTCTCTTGTGATGTCACTTGAATTTTACAATATGTCTGTTAAAAGTGCCATTAGAATTTTGATAGGGATTGCATTGAACCTATAGATAAGTTTGTGTGGTATAGACATTTTAACAATATTAATCCT